ATTTCCCACAATGCTTGATATATTTAAAACTAAAGCAGATTATTTTGTGAACTGATACTGTATGCATTTAAAGCTACAGGTTGTCTGTTGAGCAGCGCCACAATAACCCATTGTTGCTCCACTGTCTTTGCAGAGCGTCTTTCTCAAAACAAAGGTGTTCATGTTTTCACCGATGAAATAGGAATGTGACTGATCAAATTTATTTCATTTTACTCGTATAAAGTATTGATCAGACATACTACATGCGAAATATCAAGTTGATGCTTTAAAGCAAAAAAATAAATGCTCAAAATTCTCACCAATTTTTCTTGGAATCTAAAGGTGACCATTATCCACATTATTTAATATCAACAAAATAACAATTTGATCAGTTGATGCAGTCATGAGAAACAAATGCTCAAACTTTTATTTATTTTTGGAGACGAAATCACATGACTGACCCAAATTATTATTCTGAATTTAGTGGAGAGATGGAACATGGCAAATTTCAAATAACTGACTGTGGCATCAGTGAAAAACTACTTCCTGCTCAGAATAAACCAAGATGGTGGTCAAACCATGTGTCCAACCCTCTCAAGATGTTCATACTTGAATGTGCTTTACACAAAGATGCTAAAAATAAACTTTGGATCAATGTGTACAGTGCTTTGATTTTCAAGCGTTTTTTTGCCGTTTTCAAGTTGTTATTGTTGTGATCAAATTAACAAAACCCCAAATAGCCATTTCTGATTTAATTTCAATCTAACCAGACTGCAAAAAGAGTGAGCCAATCTAAATTTCAAGAGCACTAATTCAAATCATATTAAATTGAATAAAAAAGTTTGAGATGACTCTGTTCAGTCTGTTAGCTTGGATCACTTATGATACACTGTGATTCATTGCAATGCAAACCAACTTAAAATCAACCACCATTGAACTAAATGCCCTACAACCATAAATAAGATAACAAAATCTGAAGCTACATGCCATTCTACACCAACCAAATGATGATACATATAAGTTGTGACCACCATCAAGAACCTAAGCTAATATGTTCAATGTACACACACCCCCATATACATTGAAATATTTTCTTCAGTAGTCTTCAGAAAGAATCTACCAATATTGTTTTTCTGGGATCTAAACTCACGTAAAACATCACTGCCTCAGGCAATTTAAATGCAACTGGAAATTATCTTATATTTTTCACTCCCTTTTATAAAAAAAAGTTTAAGCTGCTGACACCACCACCATCCAATATCCATTCTACCTGTCTTGAGCAACATTCAAATTTTCTGGATAATCAAATTACACACTGTATTAATAACAAAGGACATTTGTGCCAACGAAATATTATGAGTGCCTCTTCATATATTGGTCATAAGGACATGTACATAAACATCCACAGAGGCAGGGCTTAAGCTCAATTGTTCCCAGTATGTGTTTGGTGCACACAGGGGGATAAACACATAAAAATAATTATGAAGTTCCTCACGTTTTGTACTGTCAGAGTTCTCACTGCTCCTATTAGAAACTGCATCTTCCGTTTCTGTAGATTACAATTAAAAACAACAATTATTTATGATAAGGTGCAAAGTACTACACATCTCACTTGATAATATATATATATTTGTATTTGTCCGATCCGATGGTGAAATGAATCATAGACATGTATCCTAACATGTATAATGTACGGTATGTACCAAATTTGAACACAAACCGACAAACATGCATACCACATTTTCAAAAACAAATCGTGGATTGAATCACTAAACTAGTGCATGTAAATATGTCTCAAAAAAAGTACTAAAACATTCAATAAATCAATGAACCGATTTGGTACACAGGGTTCTGAAATATGACTTTGTTTGAACAGAGACTAATAACTCAATAAAACTAATAACATACTAGGTCAGTCAATTTAACTTACCTTGTTGTGATGTTGTACTATCAACGGCGTCTGTATGGGCTGATTTAATTACCTCGGAAGAGTCACCTGCATATTAAAAGAGTTCATTAATAACAATTAAGAAACATGAGAAACGATAATAAACTGATGTACAAAATATGCTAGAACTAAAAATTTACAATTGTTCATAAATGTATTATCAATATTGGTAAGTGATATCTCAATTATTAGTAGAAATCACAAACATGTTTTCAATAATAAAATACAATATAAAGAGCCACAGATTTATGCAAAACACAGTGTTAATCTCTAGAATGAAGGTAAATATTATTGTCTTGAGTGTCTCTTAAAAGAAATGACTGTCATATATTCATATCTGAATAGAATGGCCAACAGTTTGCATTACAACTCCAAGAACAGGCACAAAAAAGTCCACCATAAATAAACACACGCACACACCCACACGAAAAGTGTCAGTGTGTATAATACTACTACTAAGAGTTTATCAGTTATGGATAGCAAATGATTGACAGTTAACTAATAACATACTAGGTCAGTCAATTTAACTTACTTTTTGGTTGTTGTTTTTCTTCCATTGTACTTGCAATATCTTCTGTATGGGCTGATTTAATTGGCTCGGTTGAGTCACCTGCATATTAAACAACTTCATTAATAACAATTAAGAAACATGAGAAATGATAATAACGTGATGTATAAAATATGCTAGAACTAAAAATATACAATTGTTCATAAAAGTATTATCAATATTGATATCTCAACTATTAGCAGAAATCACAAACATATTTTCAATAATAAAATACAATATAAAGAGCCATAGATTAAATGACAAAACACAGTTTATTGTCTGGAGCGTCTCTTGAAAGAAATAACTATAAAACATTCATTATGTGAATAGAATGGCCAACATAACAACTAAACACAATTTGAGTGATCACAAAATTTATGTACTGACAATTTTGCATTACAACTTCAAGAAGAGGCACAAAAAGCCTGCCATAAACACACACACGAAAAAGTGTCAGTATGTATAAAATCACTACTAAGAGTTTATCAGTTATGGATAGCAAACCATTGACAGTAAACTAATATCATACTAGGTCAGTCAATTTAACTTACTTTGTGGTTTCACTTTCATTGCACTTGCAACAGCGTCTGTATAGGCTGATTCAATTGCCTTGGTAGAGTCACCTGCATATTAAACAAGTTCATTAATAACAATTAGAAACATGAAACATGAGAAATGATAATAACGTGATGTACACAATATGCTAGAACTAAAAATATACAATTGTTCATAAAAGTATTATCAATATTGGTAAGTGACATCTCAATTATTAGTAGAAATCACGAACATTTTTTCAATAAGAAAATACAAGATAAAAGGGCCACACACACACACACTGCTACTACTACACATACACCCCCAGACCCACACACACTGCTACTACTACACATACACCCCCAGACACACACACACTGCTACTACTACACATACAACCCCAGACACACGCACACACACTGCTACTACTACACATACACCCCCAGACACACACACACTGCTACTACTACACATACACCCCCAGACCCACACACACTGCTACTACTACACATACACCCCCAGACACACACACACACTGCTACTACTACACATACACCCCCAGACCCACACACACTGCTACTACTACACATACACCCCCA